CAAAGTGGCAAACTGCAAAATATGTTATGTGAGGGGCGATTGCTCTCAAAGGGCTTTCTGCTTATGTGATCCTTCCTGTTCTCAATCTGCCTTGTTTGCATTGAGAGGAGAGAGGCGGAGATTCTCCCACCTGGAGTGGACCCTGAAGGCACCTCTTATCAGCAGTGGCCACTAGACGGGTCACTGCGACAGTGACCACAGCCACTGAAGAGGCCTAAACACATTATAGGAGCTGAAGAGATGAGAGAAATAAAGGCCTTGGCCTCACAATTTAATGTAATCTTATCACCATCTGAAAATAGGCTGAGGATTCCCTTAGTCTGTGTACACGGTGCACCTTCCTGAACATCGAGATTTCCCAGCGTTTAGAGCAGCTCAAATGTGCGTAATCTTGTCTCCCTGCTCCCTGGTTTAAGAATAACACATGATTCTAGGAAGCCTCTCTGTTCTCACTTTCTAATTTAACAAAAGGTTAACACCCAAGACTTTCTGACTTTCTTCTGGGTCACAAAATAAAAAATAATGGTCATAGATTAATCTCTGAACGTTGATCGTAACGGCCAAATAAGATTTATAGAAAAGCCAGAAAGGCCAGCACAGGGAGGTGATAAACATGCCAGGGATTTCGACACTCTATTTCCCAAGCTTTACGATTGGAAGTTTTCAGAAGGACGTTTCTTGGGAGTATTCAAAACATCAACTCTTTGGACTTAACGCATTGATATTCTTGGGAAAGAAGACTAGGCTGAATCTGGGAGATAAACTCCACTTCACTTGCATGTGCTGAGTTAAGAATAGGCGGTGGAACACAGGTGTTAGCTACGTTGTTTCCATGGTCTGGGGTGTGCCACCGCCCTGCCAGGATGCCGACGCCACCGAGTCCCAGTCTGAGCCTCACCTATGGTAGAAAGGACACCGCGTCCCAGTCTGAGCCTCACCTATGATAGAAAGGACACCGCGTCCCAGTCTGAGCCTCACCTATGATAGAAAGGACACCGCGTCCCAGTTTGAGCCTCACCTATGATAGAAAGGAAGGCTCTGGCTCTGGCGGGCTCGAAAGCGCTCCCTGGCAGCGCTGCCTCGCAGGCGTACTCCCCGATGTCCGAGGAGGTCGGGGTGCTGATGGTGAGGCGTCTCCCGAAGCTGTGGAGTCCACGGGTGACTCTCACCCCGTTTCTCTTCCAGGTCACACTCAGCTCCTCGACGGGCCTGTGAGAACGAAGGGCTTTAGTGACAATAATTGTGGATCATGTAGACGGCAATAATAATCATTCTACCAGGAACCATGGTGGGTTGAACAGTGGACATTTAAAACTCAATCCAGATATTACTCTACTCCCTTAAGGCACGCGTCAGCGACACAGTCTGCTCAAGGGCTATTGAGCAAGGATAGCTAATTGCAGCAGCAATGGACCATAAGTGATAATGATTCCATTTGCTCAGGAAAAGAATGCATAAAACAAATACTGCTAGGGGACGCGCTACATGGGAGGCATGATCACGGGAACTCCATTCTGGAGCGACCACTAATGGGGCTGAGGACACCTACGACGACAGGGGAGAAGAGAATTAACTCTTTCCTTTGCACCCAAAGGAGAGCAAAGCTCCTCTCTGCTCCTCAGCCAGAATCTAAGAAGAGACCCTCTACCATGACCCAGAGCTAAAGTGGAAAGCGCTGCTTTCCCATACAAATATTACATTCAATGTAAATACTGCAGAACAAGGCCCGGGAAAGGTCAGCACACCCAAGTCCTATCTTCCCATACGCGCTGTGCCCACAGCCCAGCTGGATGAACAAGACCACCGTTGCTGGGAGAGCCAGCCACACGCAGGAGGGGTTGTCATGGGTTGTTACTCCCCGCGTAGGGACTGGCACGCACCTGGCATTGGCTATGCATTCCAAGGTGGTCTCACTGGACCCGGCCACCACGCTTCTGTTGCTCGGGGGGATCACGATGACGGGGGCCACGGCTTCAGGCGTGCCAACATCTCCTGCGGCAGAGAAAGCAGAAGCCCATGGAGCTCTCTGAGGTACAGAAGGCGTGAGGATTGGGACGTGACACGAGAGTCCCGTCAAGCTGCTCCGACAGGACACCCAGCACCTCGGGACCCGACCCCAGCCCTCGAGGGGCACTCGGTGTGGTCCTGGTCCATAAACACATGTCCCGCCCAGGAACCACGGGAACAGAGAGCTCCTGCTGCTTCTCCACACATCGTGCTCATAAAGGGCTTCAGACTGTCGTGCATTTTCCAAAATGCTTGCTGACTTTATTTATCAATTTTAGACTTTGCTGATTGAGTTACCTGGTCTACCCACTACTTTCAAATCCGTTGAATTCCACAAATATTTCATGCATCAGGCCCTCTGCTGGGCATGTGTGTGTTTGGAAGGCGGCTGCTCTCTGACTTGGGCCCGAATGTGGTCCCCGGAGCAAAGACATCCCATGAACCAAGTGCTCGGTTCTGTGCGTGCATGTTTAATCCCTTCTCTCTGAAAAGTAACTATTCCGACTCCGTCTCTGTTGTGTGAGTATCAAACTATAAATAACGTAGCTCATACCTCTGGTGACAAGGGAGAAAAAAAACACGAGATCTTTTTGCCACTTTTCTCTCAAATACAAGTGATATCAAAATTAACACTACGTGCGCATTACTACTGTTTATTTAGGGAAAATGAGGACTGATCACACATTTCGAGAACAGGACTTTCAATAAAGGGTGGAGATGGAAGAGGCTGGAACTAAATAAACTGACACAGCGAACGCCCAGTGCTTCCTGGAGGACCTCATGCTGCAGAGAGCCGCCACCAGTGAGAGCAGCTGAGGAGAATCGTGGAAGGTTCCAGCTGCTGGCAATGCGGTCAGGGCATCGAGAGAGAGCAGGGGGAGAAAAGAGGACGGGCCTCTAGGCAACTTCCCACAGCTCTGAGTCCGGCTTTCACTGCCTAAGCAGTATGAGATTCTGGAATTAAAGGTTCACGTGAATTAAAAAAAAAAAAAAAAAAGCTTGAGGCGGGGCAGAGCCAACAAATCAATTTTTAACCCTATGTATCGACCAGTTACTGCGAGGCCGTTTCAGGCCCTCGGGGCTCCGGGCAAGCGCCGGGCAGCCTTCCCCTCCCCACGCCCGGCAGGGCCTCCCGGGGACCTTCCCAACGCCCGACACCCTCGGCTTGTGAGGCTGGGGATCGCGGGGCTGGTTATCAAGCCTCGGAGGATGCCGGAGTACAGACACGTTGGTGACAAAGGCTGAATGCCTGCCTGTCATCTGTGAAAATCGCTGATGAGGAGAAATGACCTGAGCTGCTAATATTTGCAAACAGTCATGTGAAGTGAAGGAAAGCAGCGGGGCGCGCAGAGGTCGCCGAGCAAGGTGCTAATTTGGCATGAATCAGCGCTCAGCCTGGCGCCGGAGAGGAAGCCCGTGCTCAGCGCTTGTAGCCGCCCAGAGGGCAATCCCCCCGCCCGCCCCCCCCCCCACCTCCCACCCCCGGCGGGCGGCTCAGCCTCGCCTGCGCGCTGACCCCGAGAGACCCGCAGGCGACAGACAGGTCAGCGCCAGGCCCGAGTTCACAGCCCCGGGGACGAGCGAATTGGAGGTTGCACGCGGAGATTCCAGCCGCCCCGAGGAAAGAGGAAGTCGTTCGTAATTGTGATTCATACGGAAAAGCAACTTCTGTCTGTATTGCTCTCGTGGCCCAGACCGTTACCTGATTTCAAGGACCCTCACCCATGGGGTCGACAGGACAAGTCGAGCGAGCAGCTCGACTTGGGACTGGTAAATGTCAGCCTGCCCCCAAACCCGACCACTTTGTTCTTTCTGGTGATGCGTGAATCACACATGACGCTTGGAGAAGTAGGTCCCAGAGATGCAGATAAAATGTGACGGTTCCTAAAACGTGCATTTCTAACACACACACAAGGTACACACATGCCGGCAAAGTGACCTTGACTTATGGAAACTACAACAGGAAGATCAAAGCAAGGTCTTGTGATTGAGGAGTCTGTGCGTTTTCTACTGAAACTTAACATTTCAGTAAACTTTTACGTAAGCTCCCAGAATCCACATCTCTCGGTAGCAAGGACAGTGCTCGTTGTAGCACACGATGCTGGCACACTTTCTTCATTAAAAAAAAAAAGTTTTAAAATTTCAGTCAAATTCGTATGAGCACATGGATTAAAAAGAACAGCAAAGAGAGGCTTACAACGAAATGTGACAACCCACCCCCTCCCCCAAATGTGACTTTTAACTTGTCAGTGGGCAACTTTGCCTCCATCAGGCGGGAAGTTCAGTGTTGTCCCGAAGGGACCCTGAACCCCAGAGTGCAGGGCTCTTTCCTCTGGGGCCATTCATTCTGATGGGGGGGGGAGGGCGGTGTCCTTACCTGTCTGTCTGTCTCTCTGTCTACTCGCCTTAGCTGCCGAGTACTCTACAGTGGGAGGTAGGCAGCAGACTGTCCCAGACACAAACCATTAACTACCCCGGCTCCAGCTCTGGGTCATAACTAGTCCCACGGTGGCCAAGGCCGCTCCCCAAGCCGAGACCTCCTCCGCCCATCCCCATGGTAATCATTCCTCCATCCAGACCCTTGTTTCATCTCTCAGTCACTAACAGTGCCTTCTTGTCCTGTGGACCTCGGTCTCTTCTCCTGTACTGCATTTTGTAAGGCCAACTGGCCCGAGGCAGGGGAACACAATCAGATTCACAGGTTGCATCAGACCACCCAGTTCCAGAAACTGCCCTGGAGACATTCCAGACCACCCAGTTCCAGGAACTGACCTGGGGACTTTGAACCCAGCCCAGCCTTCCCCCCTTTCGAGGGGCGGGACTAACGGTCCCCCAGGATACCCAAAAAGACCACCAAATAAGGAATACCCTGCGCCCTCCCAGATTCACCCACACCCCTTTCCCTTCTTCCCCTATAAAGTCTTGCCCAACCCTCGCCCGGGTGCGACTTCTCTGGCCCCTTTCTCTCGGACCAGTGAACCTTTGAGCCTCACCTATGATAGAAAGGAAGGCTCTGGCTCTGGCGGGCTCGAAAGCGCTCCCTGGCAGCGCTGCCTCGCAGGCGTACTCCCCGATGTCCGAGGAGGTCGGGGTGCTGATGGTGAGGCGTCTCCCGAAGCTGTGGAGTCCACGGGTGACTCTCACCCCGTTTCTCTTCCAGGTCACACTCAGCTCCTCGACGGGCCTGTGAGAACGAAGGGCTTTAGTGACAATAATTGTGGATCATGTAGACGGCAATAATAATCATTCTACCAGGAACCATGGTGGGTTGAACAGTGGACATTTAAAACTCAATCCAGATATTACTCTACTCCCTTAAGGCACGCGTCAGCGACACAGTCTGCTCAAGGGCTATTGAGCAAGGATAGCTAATTGCAGCAGCAATGGACCATAAGTGATAATGATTCCATTTGCTCAGGAAAAGAATGCATAAAACAAATACTGCTAGGGGACGCGCTACATGGGAGGCATGATCACGGGAACTCCATTCTGGAGCGACCACTAATGGGGCTGAGGACACCTACGACGACAGGGGAGAAGAGAATTAACTCTTTCCTTTGCACCCAAAGGAGAGCAAAGCTCCTCTCTGCTCCTCAGCCAGAATCTAAGAAGAGACCCTCTACCATGACCCAGAGCTAAAGTGGAAAGCGCTGCTTTCCCATACAAATATTACATTCAATGTAAATACTGCAGAACAAGGCCCGGGAAAGGTCAGCACACCCAAGTCCTATCTTCCCATACGCGCTGTGCCCACAGCCCAGCTGGATGAACAAGACCACCGTTGCTGGGAGAGCCAGCCACACGCAGGAGGGGTTGTCATGGGTTGTTACTCCCCGCGTAGGGACTGGCACGCACCTGGCATTGGCTATGCATTCCAAGGTGGTCTCACTGGACCCGGCCACCACGCTTCTGTTGCTCGGGGGGATCACGATGACGGGGGCCACGGCTTCAGGCGTGCCAACATCTCCTGCGGCAGAGAAAGCAGAAGCCCATGGAGCTCTCTGAGGTACAGAAGGCGTGAGGATTGGGACGTGACACGAGAGTCCCGTCAAGCTGCTCCGACAGGACACCCAGCACCTCGGGACCCGACCCCAGCCCTCGAGGGGCACTCGGTGTGGTCCTGGTCCATAAACACATGTCCCGCCCAGGAACCACGGGAACAGAGAGCTCCTGCTGCTTCTCCACACATCGTGCTCATAAAGGGCTTCAGACTGTCGTGCATTTTCCAAAATGCTTGCTGACTTTATTTATCAATTTTAGACTTTGCTGATTGAGTTACCTGGTCTACCCACTACTTTCAAATCCGTTGAATTCCACAAATATTTCATGCATCAGGCCCTCTGCTGGGCATGTGTGTGTTTGGAAGGCGGCTGCTCTCTGACTTGGGCCCGAATGTGGTCCCCGGAGCAAAGACATCCCATGAACCAAGTGCTCGGTTCTGTGCGTGCATGTTTAATCCCTTCTCTCTGAAAAGTAACTATTCCGACTCCGTCTCTGTTGTGTGAGTATCAAACTATAAATAACGTAGCTCATACCTCTGGTGACAAGGGAGAAAAAAAACACGAGATCTTTTTGCCACTTTTCTCTCAAATACAAGTGATATCAAAATTAACACTACGTGCGCATTACTACTGTTTATTTAGGGAAAATGAGGACTGATCACACATTTCGAGAACAGGACTTTCAATAAAGGGTGGAGATGGAAGAGGCTGGAACTAAATAAACTGACACAGCGAACGCCCAGTGCTTCCTGGAGGACCTCATGCTGCAGAGAGCCGCCACCAGTGAGAGCAGCTGAGGAGAATCGTGGAAGGTTCCAGCTGCTGGCAATGCGGTCAGGGCATCGAGAGAGAGCAGGGGGAGAAAAGAGGACGGGCCTCTAGGCAACTTCCCACAGCTCTGAGTCCGGCTTTCACTGCCTAAGCAGTATGAGATTCTGGAATTAAAGGTTCACGTGAATTAAAAAAAAAAAAAAAAAAGCTTGAGGCGGGGCAGAGCCAACAAATCAATTTTTAACCCTATGTATCGACCAGTTACTGCGAGGCCGTTTCAGGCCCTCGGGGCTCCGGGCAAGCGCCGGGCAGCCTTCCCCTCCCCACGCCCGGCAGGGCCTCCCGGGGACCTTCCCAACGCCCGACACCCTCGGCTTGTGAGGCTGGGGATCGCGGGGCTGGTTATCAAGCCTCGGAGGATGCCGGAGTACAGACACGTTGGTGACAAAGGCTGAATGCCTGCCTGTCATCTGTGAAAATCGCTGATGAGGAGAAATGACCTGAGCTGCTAATATTTGCAAACAGTCATGTGAAGTGAAGGAAAGCAGCGGGGCGCGCAGAGGTCGCCGAGCAAGGTGCTAATTTGGCATGAATCAGCGCTCAGCCTGGCGCCGGAGAGGAAGCCCGTGCTCAGCGCTTGTAGCCGCCCAGAGGGCAATCCCCCCGCCCCCCCCCCCCCCCCCCCCCCCCCCCCCCCGGGCGGCTCAGCCTCGCCTGCGCGCTGACCCCGAGAGACCCGCAGGCGACAGACAGGTCAGCGCCAGGCCCGAGTTCACAGCCCCGGGGACGAGCGAATTGGAGGTTGCACGCGGAGATTCCAGCCGCCCCGAGGAAAGAGGAAGTCGTTCGTAATTGTGATTCATACGGAAAAGCAACTTCTGTCTGTATTGCTCTCGTGGCCCAGACCGTTACCTGATTTCAAGGACCCTCACCCATGGGGTCGACAGGACAAGTCGAGCGAGCAGCTCGACTTGGGACTGGTAAATGTCAGCCTGCCCCCAAACCCGACCACTTTGTTCTTTCTGGTGATGCGTGAATCACACATGACGCTTGGAGAAGTAGGTCCCAGAGATGCAGATAAAATGTGACGGTTCCTAAAACGTGCATTTCTAACACACACACAAGGTACACACATGCCGGCAAAGTGACCTTGACTTATGGAAACTACAACAGGAAGATCAAAGCAAGGTCTTGTGATTGAGGAGTCTGTGCGTTTTCTACTGAAACTTAACATTTCAGTAAACTTTTACGTAAGCTCCCAGAATCCACATCTCTCGGTAGCAAGGACAGTGCTCGTTGTAGCACACGATGCTGGCACACTTTCTTCATTAAAAAAAAAAAGTTTTAAAATTTCAGTCAAATTCGTATGAGCACATGGATTAAAAAGAACAGCAAAGAGAGGCTTACAACGAAATGTGACAACCCACCCCCTCCCCCAAATGTGACTTTTAACTTGTCAGTGGGCAACTTTGCCTCCATCAGGCGGGAAGTTCAGTGTTGTCCCGAAGGGACCCTGAACCCCAGAGTGCAGGGCTCTTTCCTCTGGGGCCATTCATTCTGATGGGGGGGGGAGGGCGGTGTCCTTACCTGTCTGTCTGTCTCTCTGTCTACTCGCCTTAGCTGCCGAGTACTCTACAGTGGGAGGTAGGCAGCAGACTGTCCCAGACACAAACCATTAACTACCCCGGCTCCAGCTCTGGGTCATAACTAGTCCCACGGTGGCCAAGGCCGCTCCCCAAGCCGAGACCTCCTCCGCCCATCCCCATGGTAATCATTCCTCCATCCAGACCCTTGTTTCATCTCTCAGTCACTAACAGTGCCTTCTTGTCCTGTGGACCTCGGTCTCTTCTCCTGTACTGCATTTTGTAAGGCCAACTGGCCCGAGGCAGGGGAACACAATCAGATTCACAGGTTGCATCAGACCACCCAGTTCCAGAAACTGCCCTGGAGACATTCCAGACCACCCAGTTCCAGGAACTGACCTGGGGACTTTGAACCCAGCCCAGCCTTCCCCCCTTTCGAGGGGCGGGACTAACGGTCCCCCAGGATACCCAAAAAGACCACCAAATAAGGAATACCCTGCGCCCTCCCAGATTCACCCACACCCCTTTCCCTTCTTCCCCTATAAAGTCTTGCCCAACCCTCGCCCGGGTGCGACTTCTCTGGCCCCTTTCTCTCGGACCAGTGAACCTCGCCCGGGAGCGCTCCCTAATAAAGCTCACTTGAAGCTTTCCTCTGTTTCGCGGTGCCGTTTGTTAAGATCCGACCTTACACATTTTAGTGGGTTTTTACTTCTTTTTTAAGTGAGAGGAAGTCATGGATGTGTATTTTTAACCTGCCAAGCTGACTTTTCTACCAATTTTTTTCCCACGTTCAATTTTTAGAAGAGAAATGCAAAGAAGACTATCTGGGCATTTTAAAATGAATAAAACGACCTCTTCATTTCTGGTACTCTCACGGTGTCTAAGATATAATAAGCACTGAACAAATACTCAATGATTGGTTAATTTTTCATAAATATTCTACAATAATGAGCCACTACTACCACCACCAGGAAAATTACCCTCTCCTTCAGGGTTGCGCATTAAAAAACGTTTTTAAAATACCACATGCCAATGTATTAAGAATTATTTCTAAGAAGAACGAAAACAAAATGGGAAGTGGGAGGGAAACTGTACTTCACCAAGTTCCCACACAGCCGCTCAACATTCTGTACGTGTTTACATTTACAAATGTTGCCCAATTTAGTCTAACAACAAGCTATTAAGATAGCTATTAGCATCCCCCTTTTATAAGATAGCCATTAGCATCCCCCTTTTATAGCTATTAGCATCCCCCTTTTAGTCAAAGTCACATGACTAAACATGGTAGAGAATGGGTTTTAAATAGAGGAATGTCTTCATCCAAAGTTCATAAGCTTTCTTTTATATAACCATGTTTCCTCCTAATAAAAACTTTGGTTGTGCTCAGTTAACCAGAAATTAAATTAACTAGAACACTCCTTCCCCCGAGCATTTCCTTAATTGAGACTTTACTGTAGCGTTTTCAACTGAGCATTTCCCAGGTTGGTTTAGGTGGTTGGGAGGTGCAGACATCGAAGCAAAAGAGGATTTCTGCCGAGGTCAGCAACAGTGGGTGCTAGGTAGCTTCAAAGGCAGAAAGGCGAGTGCTTTGTAGTTATGGGAAGAAAGGCTCCAGGCAGAGGGAAATGGGGTCTACTCCTAGTCAGTTTCTCCCACATGAACCCCTTAATCACTGGAGAGGCTGAGTAGAGAGGAGCTGTCCAGGTTGCATTTAATTAAAAAGTACATTTAAAGCATATCAAATCTCTCAGACAGAAAAAAAAAAAAAAGTTCAAAGTCTACCAGAACTGCTAAGCTGTGGAATTACTGCAGATAAAGTAGGATGAATGGCACACAGCCTGCTTCCCTGCAATCAAGACAGTGCCGGTGGTGGGACAGCAGCGTTAAGGATAAAGGGCATGTCACCTGGACCCAGGGTCAGAAGCACAGGGACAGGCGGGAGGTGGTGACCGAGACCTGGAAGGAAGGAGCCAGCCCCGCGGTCATCTGGGTGCAGAGTCAGAAAGTCAAGCTCTGGAGACAGAGGTGGGCAAAGGAGGACACAGGAGCTCAACCAAGTGACAGCAGGAGCCTGGGGGTTGGGAGGAAGAGAACTGCATTTAGAATCCAGTGGAAATACCCTGGCTCCCAGCAGGAAGCAAGTTACTCAACTTCTCAGAGCCTTATCTTCCTAATTTGTAAAATGATGCCCGTCTCACAGGGCCATTCAAAACAGGAGTATACTTTGACACTCTCACTTTCGACGTATGTTTGTATGTTACACGACACACATCAGACAGCGTGTGGCACACAGGACGTGCTTCGGAACTCGAGGCCGCAGCACCGCGGTGAAGGGGAGACTGAGGCCCTCAGTGCCTGCTCTGCCCCAGGGCTTCCCGTCTCTCTGCCAGGACGGCCTCCCCGCAGACGCTCTGAAGGCCCGTGCGCCCTGGATGTGAGGCTGCGGGGTGCTGGACCTCGAGGGAAGGCCCGCAGGCCTGCTCGTGGCCAGGGAGGAGAGAGACCGCCTGCAGGCTTGGGGCCCACACGTCCCCACACGCCTCCTCATGAAGGTCTCCACAGCTCACTCAAAACACAGCCTCTTTCTTTCAAAAAAAGAGCCTATGCCCTGA